CCAATAAGAAAAAGTGTGACTCGGAGATGAAGGAGAAATGCAAAGCTATGGGACAGGAATGCGCCGAAGTGAACAACACGGCAGCCTGTAAAGGTATGACTTTCATGTTTAAGACGCTTAAAGGTCTTGCTCATTCGAGGCCTATAAAGTTGACCCCTTTTTAATTGATCGCTTACAGATAAACGACCGGACGTATGTAAGGATGAAATGCAGAAGCAGTGCGAAGAAAATGACCTACAATGTGCGGTTGTGGATAAAGTAGCACATTGCTTTGGTAAGTTCTCTTTTTGCTGATACAGTACCCGAAAAAAAAATAAATCGTAAACGAAATGAGAAATAATAACGAGTATACGCTGCGTATCGTACATCATTGAAGGTTCTCGACGCAATATAGGTGTATCAAATTTTAACTTTAATTTGAGATACTCTCATACAACGCGTCTAACATCAATTGCACCTTGCTCCTCGCATTAGAATAACCGAAATGTATAGGAGGAAGTTGTTTCCACTTTGCAAGGTATATTAATCCTGTTTGAAACATTCAATGCTGATGTTATACTCAGGTGTATTCTAGAAAGTATTTTGAAAACAAGACCGCCACACTTTAAATTCACCACTTGCTGGAAAACCACTAGGAATCTGTAAAGACGATGAGCAGCAGATATGCAAGGAAAACGGCCTACAGTGCACTCTTGTGGATGAAAAACCGCCGTGCGTTGGTACGCATTTATTTTTTCTCAAAGCGATTCCAAAAAGCATAACCAAGGAAATGGAAATTTGTTACGAGTACACCAAGTTTGCTTTTGTTGAAATGAACTAACTGGTTTTGAGCTAAGCTGTTTATCGCACAATTATTGAAAGGATGTTAGCAATATCAGTTTCAGATACAACAAAATCATGGCGCTGCACTGCGATTTCAGTCACTGAACGATTCGGTATTTTGTTCCTGATTAAAAATTAGGCCCTCTATCTGCATGTTACACTGCAAAAGTCGTCGAAAGATGATAGTATTGCGTATAGAGAGAGTAAACAAACGTTTATTTGATGTTCTGCGCAACAAAATTGGCTGAATGGCATTCTGGAAGTGCTGCGTTAGAGTACCTCGAGCATGCACCGGAGGCTACGAGCGCATCAAGTCACGTCACACGTGAGACATGAGCGCTGTCTGGCAGTTATCTTGGAAAACCAAGCGTGTGGCGTGCGCGGCCGTCTCGGAGGTAATAAGGTGTAGAAGGAAAGGTGATGGGTAGGTGCCACCACCATGTGGTCTTAGCAATGCGTTGGAAACACTTGCCTTTTCGTGCGAGCGTTGCATTGTAAGCGCAGCGTTATAAACTTTATGATCCTTTGAATTATCTATGTATGCTTTTTCTAGTAAAAAACCACACATACAAAATATTGACGTGTCATTATGGTGCCTCAGATATGCGCAATAATTGCTTTTTAATTGACAATCACACAAGTATGAGCGCGGAACCTTGAGCAATATTGGTGGGCGCTGCTGATGGGGTCGGCCGTTTGGGGTATTGTTTAATGACGTTTGTGGGACCGTTAAAAGTGGACAAACAGGCAAACGTACAGACAGAAAATAGACAGACAGACAGACAGACAGACAGACAGACAGACCAGTATTTTTGCGTTGAATGTCCCCAAGAAAGACAATCGTCTTAAAAATTGCCGCCCGCATTTTCGCACAGGGAGAACACGAGTAAATGTGTTGCAGAGTGGTCGGGGTATCGCATGAATGTTGTATAAGTAGGTACGGTTTGGGAATGCCTAATTTTTATTTCAACTTTATTTTTCCTGTTTATTGAATGAAGGAGAAGCGTTGCCTACAACTTCAAGCAAAATCCAAGTAAAGACGCCTTTGACTGAATTTAAAACGCGCGATCCAGTGCCTACAGATACGGGGTGGCCAATTAACGGTTATGCAGCCAGAGCAGTCGTGTTTTTAGCAGCAGACACTAAAACACGACTGGCACAACTGGCATGACTGGCACGCGACGCCAACTTGCGGCATGCGAGCATGTGCAGTGGGGGTGTGGACGGCGCCGGGTAAATACGCACCAGACAAGATTAAAGATAAGACCTAACGCACGTGAGCGATGAATTTCAGTATTAAAGGTGATAGTTTTCCTTGGGATACTTCAACGCAACTATTTTGGTCTGTCTGTCTGTCCGTCGCTTGCTCGCTGGATGGGTTGATTGATCTGTCTGTTTATCTGTTTGTAAAGCAGAACAACTCGAGTAAGCCCTCATTCACAGCGCCCATCAACATTGCCCAAGTTTCTGCGGTCAAATGACGGCGATTTAAAAGCAAATATTGTGCATATCTGAGAAACAATGTCAACAGGTCGGTATGTCTCTTCATAAGAAAAAAGCCATACATAGGTGATGCTAAGAACTGTAGCCTTTATTACGCTGCGCTGACAAAGCGCCACTATGCAGGAAAAGGAGAGTTTCCTATGCTTTGCTAAGACAATACAGTGCTGCAACCTGCTTTGAAATCTACGAAATATGGCCTCCGAGTTTCATTGTCTGATATTACCGACAGATGACACTCATATCTCACGCAATGCCTTCAGAATCCCAATAACCAATTCTCTCGCGCAATACACCAAATAAATGCTTTATTCTAATCAGTCTCTCAAGACGGGACACTATCGTCTTTCAGTGACATTTGCAGTCGAACATGCAGATACGGGCCTATCGTTCTTTTTTGTTTTCATTTTGCAAACGAAATAAAATAGCTCACTCTCTGTCCTCCTCTTCTGTGTCATGCCACATCAACAAGCCAAGATTTATATTATGAAGATAACGAAGAATTAGCAGAGTACCAGAAGGTATTTGGCTAGTTTATTACAGACAGACAGACAGACAGACAGACAGACAGACAGACAGACAGACAGACAGACAGACAGACAGACAGATACAGACAGACAGACTAGACAGACAGACAGACAGATAGCAGATAGATAGATAGATAGATAGATAGATAGATAGATAGATAGATAGATAGATAGATAGATAGATAGATAGATAGATAGATGAGTGTCACATAAGAACTCCGACTTGCATATCATCAGAATATCCGCAAACATTCTGTGTAGCAGAGCTGACTTAAAGCTCAGCACAAAAATCTAGATTCAGTCGGCAGCCGCAGGTGTGAAATATCTGCAATCCCTATTTTCTGGGCCAGCGTTACATAGGATTGACGTTTTTTCAGACCCCAATAAGAAAACGTGCGACTCGGAGATGAAGGAGAAATGCAAAGCTATGGGACAGGAATGCGCCGAAGTGAACAACACGGCAGCCTGTAAAGGTATGACTTTCATGTTTAAGACGCTTAAAGGTCTTGCTCATTCGAGGCATATAAAGTTGACTCCTTTTTAATTGATCGCTTACAGATAAACGACCGGACGTATGTAAATTTGAAATGCAGAAGCAGTGCGAAAAAAATGACCTACAATGTGCGGTTGTGGATAAAGTAGCACATTGCTTTGGTAAGTTCTCTTTTTGCTGATACAGTACCCGAAAAAAAAATAAATCGTAAACGAAATGAGAAATAATAACGAGTATACGCTGCGTATCGTACATCATTGAAGGTGCTCGACGCAATATAAGTGTATCAAATTTTAACTTTAATTTTGAGATACTCTCATACAACGCGTCTAACATCAATTGCACCTTGCTCCTCGCATTAGAATAACCGAAATGTATAGGAGGAGTTGTTTCCACTTTGCAAGGTATATTAATCCTGTTTGAAACATTCAATGCTGATGTTATACTCAGGTGTATTCTAGAAAGTATTTTGCAAACAAGACCGCCACACTTTAAATTCACCACTTGCTGGAAAACCACCAGGAATCTGTAAAGACGATGAGCAGCAGATATGCAAGGAAAACGGCCTACAGTGCACTCTTGTGGATGAAAAACCGCCGTGCGTTGGTACGCATTTATTTTTTCTCAAAGCGATTCCAAAAAGCATAACCAAGGAAATGGAAATTTGTTACGAGTACACCAAGTTTGCTTTTGTTGAAACGAACTAACTGGTTTTGAGCTAACCGGTTATTCGCACAATTATTGAAAGGATGTTAGCAATATCAGTTTCAGATACAACAAAATCATGGCGCTGAACTGCGATTTCAGTCACTGCACGATTCGGTATTTTGTTCCTGATTAAAAAATTAGGCCCTCTATCTGCATGTTACACTGCAAAAGTCGTCGAAAGATGATAGTATTGCGTATAGAGAGAGTAAACAAACGTTTATTTGATGTTCTGCGCAACAAAATTGGTGAATGGCATTCTGGAAGTGCTGCGTTAGAGTACCTCGAGCATTCACCGGAGGCTAACGAGCGCATCAAGTCACGTCACACGTGAGACATGAGCGCTGTCTGGCAGTTATCTTGGAAAACCAAGCGTGTGGCGTGTGCGGCCATCTTGGAGGTAATAAGGTGTAGAAGGAAAGGTGATGGGTAGGTGCCACCACCATGTGGTCTTAGCAATGCGTTGGAAACACTTGCCTTTTCGTGCGAGCGTTGCATTGTAAGCGCAGCGTTATAAACTTTATGATCCTTTGAATAGCAGTGCGAAGAAAATGACCTACATGTGCGGTTGTGGATAATGTAGCACATTGCGTTGGTAAGTTCTCTTTACGCTGATACAGTACCCGAAAAAAAATAAATCGTAAACGAAATGAGAAATAATAACGAGTATACGCTGCGTATCGTACATCAATGAAGGTTCTCGACGCAATATAGGTGTATCAAATTTTAACTTTAATTTTGAGATACTCTCATACAACGCGTCTAACATCAATTGCACCTCTCCTCGCATTAGAATAACCGAAATGTATAGGAGAAGTTGTTTCCACTCTGCAAGGTATAATAATCCTGTTTCAAACATTCAATGCTCATGTTGTACTCAGGTGTATTCTAGAAAGTGTTTTGCAAAGAAGACCACCACACTTTAAATTCACCACTTGCTGGAAAACCACTAGGAATCTGTAAAGACGATGAGCAGCAGATATGCAAGGAAAACGGCCTACAGTGCACTCTTGTGGATAAAAACCGCCGCGCGTTGGTACGCATTTATTTTTTCTCAAAGCGATTCCAAAAAGCATAACCAAGGAAATGGAAATTTGTTACGAAGTACACCAAGTTTGCTTTTGTTGAAATGAACTAACTGGTTTTGAGCTAACAGGTTATCGCACAATTATTGAAAGGATGTTAGCAATATCAGTTTCAGATACAACATAATCATGGCGCTGCACTGCGATTTCAGTCACTGAACGATTCGGTATTTTGTTCCTGATTAAAAATTAGGCCCTGTATCTGCATGTTACACTGCAAAAGTCGTCGAAAAGATGATAGTATTGCGTATAGAGAGAGTAAACAAACGTTTATTTGATGTTCTGCGCAACAAAATTGGCGAATGGCATTCTGGAAGTGCTGCGTTAGAGTACCTCGAGCATGCACCGGAGGCTACGAGCGCATCAAGTCACGTCACACGTGAGACATGAGCGCTGTCTGGCAGTTATCTTGGAAAATCAAGCGTGTGGCGTGCGCGGCCGTCTCGGAGGTAATAAGGTGTAGAAGGAAAGGTGATGGGTAGGTGCCACCACCATGTGGTCTTAGCAATGCGTTGGAAACACTTGCCTTTTCGTGCGAGCGTTGCATTGTAAGCGAGCGTTATAAACTTTATGATCCTTTGAATTATCTATGTATGCTTTTTCTAGTAAAAAACCACACATACAAAATATTGACGTGTCATTATGGTGCCTCAGATATGCGCAATAATTGCTTTTTCATTGACAATCACACAAGTATGAGCGCGGAACCTTGAGCAGTATTGGTGGGCGCTGCTGATGGGGTCGGCCGTTTGGGGTATTGTTTAAGGACGTTTGTGGGACCGTTAAAAATGGACAAACAGGCAAACGTACGGACAGACAGACAGGCAGACAGATTAGTACTTTTGCGTTGAATGTTCCCAAGAAAGACAATCGTCTTTAAAAATTGCCGCCCGCATCTTCGCACAGGGAGAACACGAGTAAATGTGTTGCAGAGTGGTCGGGGTATCGTATGAATGTTGTATAAGTAGGTACGGTTTGGGAATGCCTAGATTTTATTTCAACTTTATTATTCCTGTTTATTGAATGCAGGAGAAGCATTGCCAACAACGTCAAGCAAAAGCCAAATAAAGACGCCTTTGACTGAATTTAAAACGCGCGATCCAGTGCCTACAGATACGGGGTGGCCAATGAACGGTTAAGTAGCCCGAGCAGTCGTGTTTTTAGCAGCAGACACTAAAACACGACTGGCACGACTGGCATGACTGGCACGCGACGCCAGCTTGCGGCATGCGAGCATGTGCAGTGGGGGTGTGGACGGCGCCGGGTAAATACGCACCAGACGAGATTAAAGATAAGACCTAACGCACGCGAGCGATGAATTTCAGTATTAGAGGCAATAGTTTTCCTTGGGATACTTCAACGCAACTATTTTGGTCTGTCTGTCTGTCCGTCGCTTGCTCGCTGGATGGGTTGATTGATTTGTCCGTTTATCTGTTTGTAAAGCAGAACAACTCGAGTAAGACCTCATCCACAGCGCCCACCAACATTGTCCAAGTTTCTGCGGTCAAATGAGGGCGATTTAAAAGCAACTATTGCGCATATCTGAGAAACAATGTCAACAGGTCAGTATGTCTCTTCATACGAGAAAAGCCATACATAGGTGATGCTAAGAACTGTAGCCTTTATTACGCTGCGCTGACAAAGCGCCACTATGCAGGAAAAGGAGAGTTTCCTATGCTTTGCTAAGACAATACAGTGCTGCCACCTGCTTTGAAATCTACGAAATATGGCCTCCGAGTTTCATTGTCTGATATTACCGACAGATGACACTCATATCTCACGCAATGCCTTCAGAATCCCAATAACCATTCTCTCGCGCAATACACCAAATAAATGCTTTATTCTAATCACTCTCTCAAGACGGGACACTATCGTCTTTCAGTGACATTTGCAGTCGAACATGCAGATACGGGGCCCTATCGTTCTTTTTTGTTTTCATTTTGCAAACGAAATAAAATAGCTCACTCTCTGTCCTGCTCTTCTGTGTCATGCCAAATCAACAAGCCAAGATTTATATTATGAAGATAACGAAGAATTAGCAGAGTACCAGAAGGTATTTGGCTAGTTTATTACAGACAGACAGACAGACAGACAGACAGACAGACAGACAGACAGACAGACAGACAGACAGACAGACAGACAGACAGACAGATAGATAGATAGATAGATAGATAGATAGATAGATAGATAGATAGATAGATAGATAGATAGATAGATAGATAGATAGATAGATAGATAGATAGATAGATAGATAGATAGAGTGTCACATAAAACTCGGACTTGCATATCATCAGAATATCCGCAAACATTCTGTGTAGCAGAGCTGATTTAAAGCTCAGCACAAAAATCTAGATTCAGTCGGCAGCCGCAGGTGTGAAATATCTGCAATCCCTATTTTCTGGGCCAGCGTTACATAGGATTGACGTTTTTTCAGACCCCAATAAGAAAACGTGCGACTCGGAGATGAAGGAGAAATGCAAAGCTATGGGACAGGAATGCGCCGAAGTGAACAACACGGCAGCCTGTAAAGGTATGACTTTCATGTTTAAGACGCTTAAAGGTCTTGCTCATTCGAGGCATATAAAGTTGACCCCTTTTAATTGATCGCTTACAGATAAACGACCGGACGTATGTAAGATTGAAATGCAGAAGCAGTGCGAAGAAAATGACCTACAATGTGCGGTTGTGGATAAGTAGCACATTGCTTTGGTAAGTTCTCTTTTACGCTGATACAGTACCCGAAAAAAAAATAAATCGTAAACGAAATGAGAAATAATAACGAGTATACGCTGCGTATCGTACATCATTGAAGGTGCTCGACGCAATATAGTGTATCAAATTTTAACTTTAATTTTGAGATACTCTCATACAACGCGTCTAACATCAATTGCACCTTGCTCCTCGCATTAGAATAACCGAAATGTATAGGAGGAGTTGTTTCCACTTTGCAAGGTATATTAATCCTGTTTGCAAACATTCAATGCTGATGTTATACTCAGGTGTATTCTAGAAAGTATTTTGCAAAGAAGACCGCCACACTTTAAATTCACCACTTGCTGGAAAACCACTAGGAATCTGTAAAGACGATGAGCAGCAGATATGCAAGGAAAACGGCCTACAGTGCACTCTTGTGGATGAAAAACCGCCGTGCGGTGGTACGCATTTATTTTTTCTCAAAGCGATTCCAAAAAGCATAACCAAGGAAATGGAAATTTGTTACGAGTACACCAAGTTTGCTTTTGTTGAAATGAACTAACTGGTTTTGAGCTAACAGGTTATCGCACAATTATTGAAAGGATGTTAGCAATATCAGTTTCAGATACAACATAATCATGGCGCTGCACTGCGATTTCAGTCACTGAACAATTCGGTATTTTTTTCCTGATTGAAAAATTAGGCCTTCTATCTGCATGTTACACTGCAAAAGTCGTCGAGAGATGATAGTATTGCGTATAGAGAGAGTAAAGAAATGTTTATTTGATGTTCTGCGCAACAAAATTGGTGAATGGCATTCTGGAAGTGCTGCGTTAGAGTACCTCGAGCATGCACCGGAGGCTAACGAGCGCATCAAGTCACGTCACACGTGAGACATGAGTGCTGTGTGGCAGTTATCTTGGAAAACCAAGCGTGTGGCGTGCATTGCCGTCTCGGAGGTAATAAGGTGTAGAAGGAAAGGTGATGTGTAGGTGCCACCACCATGTTGTCTTAGCAATGCGTTGGAAACACTTGCCTTTTCGTGTGAGCGTTGCATTGTAAGCGCAGCGTTATATACTTTCTGATTCTTTGAATTGTCTATGTATCCTTTTTATAGTAAAAACTACACATACAAAATATTGACGTGTCAATATGGTGCCTCAGATATCCGCAATAATTGCTTTTTAATTTACAATCACACAAGTTTGAGCGCGGAACCTTGAGCAATATTGGTGGGCGCTGCTGATGGGGTCGGCCGTTTGGGGTATTGTTTAATGACGTTTGTGGGACCGTTAAAAATGGACAAACAGGCAAACGTACAGACAGACAGACAGACAGACAGACCAGTACTTTTGCGTTGAATGTCCCAAGAAAGACAATCGTCTTTAAAAATTGCCGCCCGCATCTTCGCACAGGGAGAACACGAGTAAATGTGTTGCAGAGTGGTCGGGGTATCGCATGAATGTTGTATAAGTGGGTACGGTTTGGGAATGCTTAATTTTTATTTCAACTTTATTATTCCTGTTTATTGAATGAAGGAGAAGCGTTGCCTACAACGTCAAGCAAAAGCCAAGTAAAGACGCCTTTGAATTTAAAACGCGCGATCCAGTGCCTACAGATACGGGGTGGCCAATGAACGGTTATGTAGCCCGAGCAGTCGTGTTTTTAGCAGCAGACACTAAAACACGACTGGCACGAACTGGCATGACTGGCACGCGACGCCAGCTTGCGTCATGCGAGCATGTGCAGTGGGGGTGTGGACGGCGCCGGGTAAATACGCACCAGACGAGATTAAAGATAAGACCTAACGCACGCGAGCGATGAATTTCAGTATTAGAGGCAATAGTTTTCCTTGGGATACTTCAACGCAACTATTTTGGTCTGTCTGTCTGTCCGTCGCTTGCTCGCTGGATGGGTTGATTGATTTGTCCGTTTATCTGTTTGTAAAGCAGAACAACTCGAGTAAGACCTCATCCACAGCGCCCACCAACATTGTCCAAGTTTCTGCGGTCAAATGACGGCGATTTAAAAGCAAATATTGTGCATATCTGAGAAACAATGTCAACAGGTCAGTATGTCTCTTCATACGAGAAAAGCCATACATAGGTGATGCTAAGAACTGTAGCCTTTATTACGCTGCGCTGACAAAGCGCCACTATGCAGGAAAAGGAGAGTTTCCTATGCTTTGCTAAGACAATACAGTGCTGCCACCTGCTTTGAAATCTACGAAATATGGCCTCCGAGTTTCATTGTCTGATATTACCGACAGATGACACTCATATCTCACGCAATGCCTTCAGAATCCCAATAACCGATTCTCTCGCGCAATACACCAAATAAATGCTTTATTCTAATCACTCTCTCAAGACGGGACACTATCGTCTTTCAGTGACATTTGCAGTCGAACATGCAGATACGGGGCCTATCGTTCTTTTTGTTTTCATTTTGCAAACGAAATAAAATAGCTCACTCTCTGTCCTCCTCTTCTGTGTCATGCCACATCAACAAGCCAAAATTTATATTAAGAAGATAACGAAGAATTAGCAGAGTACCAGAAGGTATTGGCTAGTTTATTACAGACAGACAGACAGACAGACAGACACAGACAGACAGACAGATCAGACAGAAGACAGACAGACAGACAGATAGATAGATAGATAGATAGATAGATAGATAGATAGATAGATAGATAGATAGATAGATAGATAGATAGATAGATAGATAGATAGATAGATAGATAGATAGATAGATAGATAGATAGATAGATAGAGTGTCCACATAAAACTCCGACTTGCATATCATCAGAATATCCGCAAACATTCTGTGTAGCAGAGCTGATTTAAAGCTCAGCACAAAATCTAGATTCAGTCGGCAGCCGCAGGTGTGAAATATCTGCAATCCCTATTTTCTGGGCCAGCGTTACATAGGATTGACGTTTTTTCAGACCCCAATAAGAAAAAGTGTGACTCGGAGATGAAGGAGAAATGCAAAGCTATGGGACAGGAATGCGCCGAAGTGAACAACACGGCAGCCTGTAAAGGTATGACTTTCATGTTTAAGACGCTTAAAGGTCTTGCTATTCGAGGCCTATAAAGTTGACCCCTTTTTAATTGATCGCTTACAGATAAACGACCGGACGTATGTAAGGATGAAATGCAGAAGCAGTGCGAAGAAAATGACCTACAATGTGCGGTTGTGGATAAAGTAGCACATTGCTTTGGTAAGTTCTCTTTTTGCTGATACAGTACCCGAAAAAAAAATAAATCGTAAACGAAATGAGAAATAATAACGAGTATACGCTGCGTATCGTACATCATTGAAGGTGCTCGACGCAATATAAGTGTATCAAATTTTAACTTTAATTTTGAGATACTCTCATACAACGCGTCTAACATCAATTGCACCTTGCTCCTCGCATTAGAATAACCGAAATGTATAGGAGGAGTTGTTTCCACTTTGCAAGGTATATTAATCCTGTTTGAAACATTCAATGCTGATGTTATACTCAGGTGTATTCTAGAAAGTATTTTGAAAACAAGACCGCCACACTTTAAATTCACCACTTGCTGGAAAACCACTAGGAATCTGTAAAGACGATGAGCAGCAGATATGCAAGGAAAACGGCCTACAGTGCACTCTTGTGGATGAAAAAACCGCCGTGCGTTGGTACGCATTTATTTTTTCTCGAAGCGATTCCAAAAAGCATAACCAAGGAAATGGAAATTTGTTACGAGTACACCAAGTTTGCTTTTGTTGAAATGAACTAACTGGTTTCGAGCTAACCGGTTATTCGCACAATTATTGAAAGGATGTTAGCAATATCAGTTTCAGATACAACATAATCATGGCGCTGCACTGCGATTTCAGTCACTGAACGATTCGGTATTTTGTTCCTGATTGAAAAATTAGGCCCTCTATCTGCATGTTACACTGCAAAAGTCGTCGAAAGATGATAGTATTGCGTATAGAGAGAGTAAACAAACGTTTATTTGATGTTCTGCGCAACAAAATTGGCTGAATGGCATTCTGGAAGTGCTGCGTTAGAGTACCTCGAGCATGCACCGGAGGCTACGAGCGCATCAAGTCACGTCACACGTGAGACATGAGCGCTGTCTGGCAGTTATCTTGGAAAATCAAGCGTGTGGCGTGCGCGGCCGTCTCGGAGGTAATAAGGTGTAGAAGGAAAGGTGATGGGTAGGTGCCACCACCATGTGGTCTTAGCAATGCGTTGGAAACACTTGCCTTTTCGTGCGAGCGTTGCATTGTAAGCGCAGCGTTATAAACTTTATGATCCTTTGAATTATCTATGTATGCTTTTTCTAGTAAAAAACCACACATACAAAATATTGACGTGTCATTATGGTGCCTCAGATATGCGCAATAATTGCTTTTTAATTGACAATCACACAAGTATGAGCGCGGAACCTTGAGCAATATTGGTGGGCGCTGCTGATGGGGTCGGCCGTTTGGGGTATTGTTTAATGACGTTTGTGGGACCGTTAAAAATGGACAAACAGGCAAACGTACAGACAGACAGACAGGCAGACAGATTAGTACTTTTGCGTTGAATGTTCCCAAGAAAGACAATCGTCTTTAAAAATTGCCGCCCGCATCTTCGCACAGGGAGAACACGAGTAAATGTGTTGCAGAGTGGTCGGGGTATCGTATGAATGTTGTATAAGTAGGTACGGTTTGGGAATGCCTAGATTTTATTTCAACTTTATTATTCCTGTTTATTGAATGCAGGAGAAGCATTGCCAACAACGTCAAGCAAAAGCCAAATAAAGACGCCTTTGACTGAATTTAAAACGCGCGATCCAGTGCCTACAGATACGGGGTGGCCAATGAACGGTTAAGTAGCCCGAGCAGTCGTGTTTTTAGCAGCAGACACTAAAACACGACTGGCACGACTGGCATGACTGGCACGCGACGCCAGCTTGCGTCATGCGAGCATGTGCAGTGGGGGCGTGGACGGCGCCGGGTAAATACGCACCAGACGAGATTAAAGATAAGACCTAACGCACGTGAGCGATGAATTTCAGTATTAAAAGGCATAGTTTTCCTTGGGATACTTCAACGCAACTATTTTGGTCTGTCTGTCTGTCCGTCGCTTGCTCGCTGGATGGGTTGATTGATCTGTCTGTTTATCTGTTTGTAAAGCAGAACAACTCGAGTAAGCCCTCATCACAGCGCCCACCAACATTGCCCAAGTTTCTGCGGTCAAATGACGGCGATTTAAAAGCAAATATTGTGCATATCTGAGAAACAATGTCAACAGGTCAGTATGTCTCTTCATACGAGAAAAGCCATACATAGGTGATGCTAAGAACTGTAGCCTTTATTACGCTGCGCTGACAAAGCGCCACTATGCAGGAAAAGGAGAGTTTCCTATGCTTTGCTAAGACAATACAGTGCTGCCACCTGCTTTGAAATCTACGAAATATGGCCTCCGAGTTTCATTGTCTGATATTACCGACAGATGACACTCATATCTCACGCAATGCCTTCAGAATCCCAATAACCGATTCTCTCGCGCAATACACCAAATAAATGCTTTATTCTAATCACTCTCTCAAGACGGGACACTATCGTCTTTCAGTGGCATTTGCAGTCGAACATGCAGATACGGGCCCTATCGTTCTTTTTTGATTTCATTTTGCAAACGAATTGAAATAGCTCACTCTCTGTCCTGCTCTTCTGTGTCATGCCAAATCAACAAGCCAAGATTTATATTATGAAGATAACGAAGAATTAGCAGAGTACCAGAAGGTATTTGGCTAGTTTATTACAGACAGACAGACAGACAGACAGACAGACAGACAGACAGACAGACAGACAGACAGACAGACAGACAGACAGATAGATAGATAGATAGATAGATAGATAGATAGATAGATAGATAGATAGATAGATAGATAGATAGATAGATAGATAGATAGATAGATAGATAGATAGATAGATAGATAGATAGAGTGTCACATAAAACTCCGACTTGCATATCATCAGAATATCCGCAAACATTCTGTGTAGCAGAGCTGATTTAAAGCTCAGCACAAAAATCTAGATTCAGTCGGCAGCCGCAGGTGTGAAATATCTGCAATCCCTATTTTCTGGGCCAGCGTTACATAGGATTGACGTTTTTTCAGACCCCAATAAGAAAACGTGCGACTCGGAGATGAAGGAGAAATGCAAAGCTATGGGACAGGAATGCGCCGAAGTGAACAACACGGCAGCCTGTAAAGGTATGACTTTCATGTTTAAGACGCTTAAAGGTCTTGCTATTCGAGGCCTATAAAGTTGACCCCTTTTTAATTGATCGCTTACAGATAAACGACCGGACGTATGTAAGGATGAAATGCAGAAGCAGTGCGAAGAAAATGACCTACAATGTGCGGTTGTGGATAAAGTAGCACATTGCTTTGGTAAGTTCTCTTTTACGCTGATACAGTACCCGAAAAAAAAATAAATCGTAAACGAAATGAGAAATAATAACGAGTATACGCTGCGTATCGTACATCATGAAGGTGCTCGACGCAATATAGGTGTATCAAATTTTAACTTTAATTTTGAGATACTCTCATACAACGCGTCTAACATCAATTGCACCTTGCTCCTCGCATTAGAATAACCGAAATGTATAGGAGGAGTTGTTTCCACTTTGCAAGGTATATTAATCCTGTTTGAAACATTCAATGCTGATGTTATACTCAGGTGTATTCTAGAAAGTATTTTGAAAACAAGACCGCCACACTTTAAATTCACCACTTGCTGGAAAACCACTAGGAATCTGTAAAGACGATGAGCAGCAGATATGCAAGGAAAACGGCCTACAGTGCACTCTTGTGGATGAAAAACCGCCGTGCGGTGGTACGCATTTATTTTTTCTCAAAGCGATTCCAAAAAGCATAACCAAGGAAATGGAAATTTGTTACGAGTACACCAAGTTTGCTTTTGTTGAAATGAACTAACTGGTTTTGAGCTAACCGGTTATTCGCACAATTATTGAAAGGATGTTAGCAATATCAGTTTCAGATACAACATAATCATGGCGCTGCACTGCGATTTCAGTCACTGAACGATTCGGTATTTTGTTCTGATTAAAAATTAGGCCCTGTATCTGCATGTTACACTGCAAAAGTCGTCAAAAGATGATAGTATTGCGTATAGAGAGAGTAAACAAACGTTTATTTGATGTTCTGCGCAACAAAATTGGCGAATGGCATTCTGGAAGTGCTGCGTTAGAGTACCTCGAGCATGCACCGGAGGCTTACGAGCGCATCAAGTCACGTCACACGTGAGACATGAGCGCTGTCTGGCAGTTATCTTGGAAAATCAAGCGTGTGGCGTGCGCGGCCGTCTCGGAGGTAATAAGGTGTAGAAGGAAAGGTGATGGGTAGGTGCCACCACCATGTGGTCTTAGCAATGCGTTGGAAACACTTGCCTTTTCGTGCGAGCGTTGCATTGTAAGCGAGCGTTATAAACTTTATGATCCTTTGAATTATCTATGTATGCTTTTTCTAGTAAAAAACCACACATACAAAATATTGACGTGTCATTATGGTGCCTCAGATATGCGCAATAATTGCTTTTTCATTGACAATCACACAAGTATGAGCGCGGAACCTTGAGCAGTATTGGTGGGCGCTGCTGATGGGGTCGGCCGTTTGGGGTATTGTTTAAGGACGTTTGTGGGACCGTTAAAAATGGACAAACAGGCAAACGTACGGACAGACAGACAGGCAGACAGATTAGTACTTTTGCGTTGAATGTTCCCAAGAAAGACAATCGTCTTTAAAAATTGCCGCCCGCATCTTCGCACAGGGAGAACACGAGTAAATGTGTTGCAGAGTGGTCGGGGTATCGTATGAATGTTGTATAAGTAGGTACGGTTTGGGAATGCCTAGATTTTATTTCAACTTTATTATTCCTGTTTATTGAATGCAGGAGAAGCATTGCCAACAACGTCAAGCAAAAGCCAAATAAAGACGCCTTTGACTGAATTTAAAACGCGCGATCCAGTGCCTACAGATACGGGGTGGCCAATGAACGGTTAAGTAGCCCGAGCAGTCGTGTTTTTAGCAGCAGACACTAAAACACGACTGGCACGACTGGCATGACTGGCACGCGACGCCAGCTTGCGTCATGCGAGCATGTGCAGTGGGGGCGTGGACGGCGCCGGGTAAATACGCACCAGACGAGATTAAAGATAAGCACAAAAATCTAGATTCAGTCGGCAGCCGCAGGTGTGAAATATCTGATATCCCTATTTTCTGGGCCAGCGTTACATAGGATTGACGTTTTTTCAGACCCCAATAAGAAAAAGTGTGACTCGGAGATGAAGGAGAAATGCAAAGCTATGGGACAGGAATGCGCCGAAGTGAACAACACGGCCGCCTGTAAAGGTATGACTTTCATGTTTAAGACGCTTAAAGGTCTTGCTCATTCGAGGCCTATAAAGTTGACCCCTTTTTAATTGATCGCTTACAGATAAACGACCGGACGTATGTAAGGATGAAATGCAGAAGCAGTGCGAAGAAAATGACCTACAATGTGCGGTTGTGGATAAAGTAGCACATTGCTTTGGTAAGTTCTCTTTTTGCTGATACAGTACCCGAAAAAAAATAAATCGTAAACGAAATGAGAAATAATAACGAGTATACGCTGCGTATCGTACATCATTGAAGGTGCTCGACGCAATATAAGTGTATCAAATTTTAACTTTAATTTGAGATACTCTCATACAACGCGTCTAACATCAATTGCACCTTGCTCCTCGCATTAGAATAACCGAAATGTATAGGAGGAGTTGTTTCCACTTTGCAAGGGATATTAATCCTGTTTGAAACATTCCATGCTGATGTTATACTCAGGTGTATTCTAGAAAGTATTTTGCAAACAAGACCGCCACACTTTAAATTCACCACTTGCTGGAAACCACCTAGGAATCTGTAAAGACGATGAGCAGCAGATATGCAAGGAAAACGGCCTACAGTGCACTCTTGTGGATGAAAAACCGCCGTGCGTTGGTACTCATTTATTTTTTCTCAAAGCGATTCCAAAAAGCATAACCAAGGAAATGGAAATTTGTTACGAATACACCAAGTTTGCTTTTGTTGAAATGAACTAACTGGTTTTGAGCTAACAAGTTTATCGCACAATTATTGAAAGGATGTTAGCAATATCAGTTTCAGATACAACATAATCATGGCGCTGCACTGCAATTTCAGTCACTGAACGATTCGGTATTTTGTTTCTGATTAAAAATTAGGCCCTGTATCTGCATGTTACACTGCAAAAGTCGTCAAAAGATGATAGTATTGCGTATAGAGAGAGTAAACAAACGTTTATTTGATGTTCTGCGCAACAAAATTGGCGAATGGCATTCTGGAAGTGCTGCGTTAGAGTACCTCGAGCATGCACCGGAGGCTTACGAGCGCATCAAGTCACGTCACACGTGAGACATGAGCGCTGTCTGGCAGTTATCTTGGAAAATCAAGCGTGTGGCGTGCGCGGCCGTCTCGGAGGTGATAAGGTGTAGAAGGAAAGGTGATGGGTAGGTGCCACCACCATGTGGTCTTAGCAATGCGTTGGAAACACTTGCCTTTTCGTGCGAGCGTTGCATTGTAAGCGAGCGTTATAAACTTTATGATCCTTTGAATTATCTATGTATGCTTTTTTAGTAAAAAACCACACATACAAAATATTGACGTGTCATTATGGTGCCTCAGATATGCGCAATAATTGCTTTTTCATTGACAATCACACAAGTATGAGCGCGGAACCTTGAGCAGTATTGGTGGGCGCTGCTGATGGGGTCGGCCGTTTGGGGTATTGTTTAAGGACGTTTGTGGGACCGTTAAAAATGGACAAACAGGCAAACGTACGGACAGACAGACAGGCAGACAGATTAGTACTTTTGCGTTGAATGTTCCCAAGAAAGACAATCGTCTTTAAAATTGCCGCCCGCATCTTCGCACAGGGAGAACACGAGTAAATGTGTTGCAGAGTGGTCGGGGTATCGTATGAATGTTGTATAAGTAGGTACGGTTTGGGAATGCCTAGATTTTATTTAGATAGATAGATAGATAGATAGATAGATAGATAGATAGATAGATAGATAGATAGATAGATAGATAGAGTGTCACATAAAACTCCGACTTGCATATCATCAGAATATCCGCAAACATTCTGTGTAGCAGAGCTGATTTAAAGCTCAGCACAAAAATCTAGATTCAGTCGGCAGCCGCAGGTGTGAAATATCTGATATCCCTATTTTCTGGGCCAGCGTTACATAGGATTGACGTTTTTTCAGACCCCAATAAGAAAAAGTGTGACTCGGAGATGAAGGAGAAATGCAAAGCTATGGGACAGGAATGCGCCGAAGTGAACAACACGGCCGCCTGTAAAGGTATGACTTTCATGTTTAAGACGCTTAAAGGTCTTGCTCATTCGAGGCCTCTAAAGTTGACCCCTTTTTAATTGATCGCTTACAGATAAACGACCGGACGTATGTAAGGATGAAATGCAGAAGCAGTGCGAAGAAAATGACCTACAATGTGCGGTTGTGGATAATGTAGCACATTGCGTTGGTAAGTTCTCTTTACGCTGATACAGTACCCGAAAAAAAAATAAATCGTAAACAAAATGAGAAATAATAACGAGTATAAGCTGCGTATCGTACATCAATGAAGGTTCTCGACGCAATATAGGTGTATCAAATTTTAACTTTTATTTTGGGATACTCTCATACAACGCGTCTAACATCAATTGCACCTCTCCTCGCATTAGAATAACCGAAATGTATAGGAGAAGTTGTTTCCACTTTCCAAGGTATATTAATCCTGTTTCCAACATTCAATGCTAATGTTATACTCAGGTGTATTCTAGAAAGTATTTTGCAAAGAAGACCGCCACACTTTAAATTCACCACTTGCTGGAAAACCACTAGGAATCTGTAACGACGATGAGCAGCAGATTTGCAAGGAAAACGGCCTACAGTGCACTCTTGTGGATAAAAAAACCGCCGCGCGTTGGTACGCATTTATTTTTTCTCAAAGCGATTCCAAAAAGCATAACCAAGGAAATGGAAATTTGTTACGAATACACCAAGTTTGCTTTTGTTGAAATGAACTAACTGGTTTTGAGCTAACAGTTTATCGCACAATTATTGAAAGGATGTTAGCAATATCAGTTTCAGATACAACATAATCATGGCGCTGCACTGCAATTTCAGTCACTGAACGATTCGGTATTTTGTTTCTGATTAAAAATTAGGCCCTGTATCTGCATGTTACACTGCAAAAGTCGTCAAAAGATGATAGTATTGCGTATAGAGAGAGTAAACAAACGTTTATTTGATGTTCTGCGCAACAAAATTGGCGAATGGCATTCTGGAAGTGCTGCGTTAGAGTACCTCGAGCATGCACCGGAGGCTACGAGCGCATCAAGTCACGTCACACGTGAGACATGAGCGCTGTCTGGCAGTTATCTTGGAAAATCAAGCGTGTGGCGTGCGCGGCCGTCTCGGAGGTGATAAGGTGTAGAAGGAAAGGTGATGGGTAGGTGCCACCACCATGTGGTCTTAGCAATGCGTTGGAAACACTTGCCTTTTCGTGCGAGCGTTGCATTGTAAGCGAGCGTTATAAACTTTATGATCCTTTGAATTATCTATGTATGCTTTTTTTAGTAAAAAACCACACATACAAAATATTGACGTGTCATTATGGTGCCTCAGATATGCGCAATAATTGCTTTTTCATTGACAATCACACAAGTATGAGCGCGGAACCTTGAGCAGTATTGGTGGGCGCTGCTGATGGGGTCGGCCGTTTGGGGTATTGTTTAAGGACGTTTGTGGGACCGTTAAAAATGGACAAACAGGCAAACGTACGGACAAACAGACAGGCAGACAGATTAGTACTTTTGCGTTGAATGTTCCCAAGAAAGACAATCGTCTTTAAAAATTGCCGCCCGCATCTTCGCACAGGGAGAACACGAGTAAATGTGTTGCAGAGTGGTCGGGGTATCGTATGAATGTTGTATAAGTAGGTACGGTTTGGGAATGCCTAGATTTTATTTCAACTTTATTATTCCTGTTTATTGAATGCAGGAGAAGCATTGCCAACAACGTCAAGCAAAAGCCAAATAAAGACGCCTTTGACTGAATTTAAAACGCGCGATCCAGTGCCTACAGATACGGGGTGGCCAATGAACGGTTAAGTAGCCCGAGCAGTCGTGTTTTTAGCAGCAGACACTAAAACACGACTGGCACGACTGGCATGACTGGCACGCGACGCCAGCTTGCGTCATGCGAGCATGTGCAGTGGGGGCGTGGACGGCGCCGGGTAAATACGCACCAGACGAGATTAAAGATAAGACCTAACCCACGCGAGCGATGAATTTCAGTAATAGAGGCAATAGTTTTCCTTGGGATACTTCAACGCAACTATTTTGGTCTGTCTGTCTGTCCGTCGCTTGCTCGCTGGATGGGTTGATTGATTTGTCCGTTTATCTGTTTGTAAAGCAGAACAACTCGAGTAAGACCTCATCCACATCGCCCACCAACATTGTCCAAGTTTCTGCGGTCAAATGAGGGCGATTTAAAAGCAACTATTGCGCATATCTGAGAAACAATGTCAACAGGTCAGTATGTCTCTTCATACGAGAAAAGCCATACATAGGTGATGCTAAGAACTGTAGCCTTTATTACGCTGCGCTGACAAAGCGCCACTATGCAGAAAAAGGATAGTTTCCTATGCTTTGCTAAGACAATACAGTGCTGCCACCTGCTTTGAAATCTGCGAAATGCGCCTCCGAGTTTCATTGTCTGATATTACCGACAGATGACACTCATATCTCACGCAATGCCTTCAGAATCCCAATAACCGATTCTCTCGCGCAATACACCAAATAAATGCTTTATTCTAATCACTCTCTCAAGACGGGACACTATCGTCTTTCAGTGACATTTGCAGTCGAACATGCAGATACGGGGCCTATCGTTCTTTTTTGTTTTCATTTTGCAAACGAATAGCTCACTCTCTGTCCTGCTCTTCTGTGTCATGCCAAATCAACAAGCCAAAATTTATATTAAGAAGATAACGAAGAATTAGCAGAGTACCAGAAGGTATTTGGCTAGTTTATTACAGACAGACAGACAGACAGACAGACAGACAGACAGACAGATAGATAAGATAGACAGATAGATAGATAGATAGATAGATAGATAGATAGATAGATAGATAGATAGATAGATAGATAGATAGATAGATAGATAGATAGATAGATAGATAGATAGATAGATAGATAGATAGATAGATAGATAGATAGATAGATAGATAGATAGATAGATAGATAGATAGATAGATAGATAGATAGATAGATAGAGTGTCACATAAAACTCCGACTTGCATATCATCAGAATATCCGCAAACATTCTGTGTAGCAGAGCTGATTTAAAGCTCAGCACAAAAATCTAGATTCAGTCGGCAGCCGCAGGTGTGAAATATCTGATATCCCTATTTTCTGGGCCAGCGTACATAGGATTGACGTTTTTTCAGACCCCAATAAGAAAACGTGCTGACTCGGAGATGAAGGAGAAATGCAAAGCTATGGGACAGGAATGCGCCGAAGTGAACAACACGGCCGCCTGTAAAGGTATGACTTTCATGTTTAAGACGCTTAAAGGTCTTGCTCATTCGAGGCCTCTAAAGTTGACCCCTTTTTAATTGATCGCTTACAGATAAACGACCGGACGTATGTAAGGATGAAATGCAGAAGCAGTGCGAAGAAAATGACCTACAATGTGCGGTTGTGGATAATGTAGCACATTGCGTTGGTAAGTTCTCTTTTACGCTGATACAGTACCCGAAAAAAAATAAATCGTAAACGAAATGAGAAATAATAACGAGTATACGCTGCGTATCGTACATCAATGAAGGTTCTCGACGCAATATAGGTGTATCAAATTTTAACTTTAATTTTGAGATACTCTCATACAACGCGTCTAACATCAATTGCACCTGCTCCTCGCATTAGAATAACCGAAATGTATAGGAGGAGTTGTTTCCACTTTGCAAGGTATATTAATCCTGTTTGCAACATTCAATGCTGATGTTATACTCAGGTGTATTCTAGAAAGTATTTTGCAAACAAGACCGCCACACTTTAAATTCACCACTTGCTGGAAAACCACTAGGAATCTGTAACGACGATGAGCAGCAGATATGCAAGGAAAACGGCCTACAGTGCACTCTTGTGGATAAAAACCGCCGCTGCGTTGGTACGCATTTATTTTTTCTCAAAGCGATTCCAAAAAGCATAACCAAGGAAATGGAAATTTGTTACGAGTACACCAAGTTTGCTTTTGTTGAAATGAACTAACTGGTTTTGAGCTAACCGGTTATTCGCACAATTATTGAAAGGATGTTAGCAATATCAGTTTCAGATACAACAAAATCATGGCGCTGCACTGCGATTTCAGTCACTGAACGATTCGGTATTTTGTTCCTGATTAAAAATTAGGCCCTCTATCTGCATGTTACACTGCAAAAGTCGTCAAAAGATGATAGTATTGCGTATAGAGAGAGTAAACAAACGTTTATTTGATGTTCTGCGCAACAAAATTGGCGAATGGCATTCTGGAAGTGCTGCGTTAGAGTACCTCGAGCATGCACCGGAGGCTTACGAGCGCATCAAGTCACGTCACACGTGAGACATGAGCGCTGTCTGGCAGTTATCTTGGAAAATCAAGCGTGTGGCGTGCGCGGCCGTCTCGGAGGTAATAAGGTGTAGAAGGAAAGGTGATGGGTAGGTGCCACCACCATGTGGTCTTAGCAATGCGTTGGAAACACTTGCCTTTTCGTGCGAGCGTTGCATTGTAAGCGAGCGTTATAAACTTTATGATCCTTTGAATTATCTATGTATGCTTTTTCTAGTAAAAACCACACATACAAAATATTGACGTGTCATTATGGTGCCTCAGATATGCGCAATAATTGCTTTTTCATTGACAATCACACAAGTATGAGCGCGGAACCTTGAGCAGTATTGGTGGGCGCTGCTGATGGGGTCGGCCGTTTGGGGTATTGTTTAAGGACGTTTGTGGGACCGTTAAAAATGGACAAACAGGCAAACGTACGGACAGACAGACAGGCAGACAGATTAGTACTTTTGCGTTGAATGTTCCCAAGAAAGACAATCGTCTTTAAAAATTGCCGCCCGCATCTTCGCACAGGGAGAACACGAGTAAATGTGTTGCAGAGTGGTCGGGGTATCGTATGAATGTTGTATAAGTAGGTACGGTTTGGGAATGCCTAGATTTTATTTCAACTTTATTATTCCTGTTTATTGAATGCAGGAGAAGCATTGCCAACAACGTCAAGCAAAAGCCAAATAAAGACGCCTTTGACTGAATTTAAAACGCGCGATCCAGTGCCTACAGATACGGGGTGGCCAATGAACGGTTAAGTAGCCCGAGCAGTCGTGTTTTTAGCAGCAGACACTAAAACACGACTGGCACAACTGGCATGACTGGCACGCGACGCCAGCTTGCGGCATGCGAGCATGTGCAGTGGGGGTGTGGACGGCGCCGGGTAAATACGCACCAGACAAGATTAAAGATAAGACCTAACGCACGTGAGCGATGAATTTCAGTATTAAAGATGATAGTTTTCCTTGGGATACTTCAACGCAACTATTTTGGTCTGTCTGTCTGTCCGTCGCTTGCTCGCTGGATGGGTTGATTGATCTGTCTGTTTATCTGTTTGTAAAGCAGAACAACTCGAGTAAGCCCTCATTCACAGCGCCCATCAACATTGCCCAAGTTTCTGCGGTCAAATGACGGCGATTTAAAAGCAAATATTGTGCATATCTGAGAAACAATGTCAACAGGTCAGTATGTCTTTTCATACGAGAAAAGCCATACATTTGTGATGCTAAGAACTGTTGCCTTTATTACGCTGCGCTGAAAAGCGCCACTATGCAGGAAAAGGAAAGTTTCCTTCGCTTTGCTAAGACAATACAGTGCTGCCACCTGCTTTGAAATCTACGAAATATGGCCTTCGAGTTTCATTGTCTGATATTACCGACAGATGACACTCATATCTCACGCAATGCTTTCGGAATCCCAATAACCAATTCTCTCGCGCAATACACCAAATAAATGCTTTATTCTAATCAGTCTCTCAAGACGGGACACTATCATCTTTCAGTGACATTTGCAGTCGAACATGCAGATACGGGGCCTATCGTTCTTTTTTGTTTTCATTTTGCAAACTAAATAAAATAGCTCACTCTCTGTCCTCCTCTTCTGTGTCATGCCACATCAACAAGACAAGATTTATATTATGAAGCTAACGAAGAATTAGCAGAGTACCAGAAGGTATTTGGCTAGTTTATTACAGACAGACAGACAGACAGACAGACAGACAGACAGACAGACAGACAGACAGACAGACAGATAGATAGATAGATAGATAGATAGATAGATAGATAGACAGACAGGACAGATAGATAGATAGATAGATAGATAGATAGATAGATAGATAGATAGATAGATAGATAGATAGATAGATAGATAGATAGATAGATAGATAGATAGATAGATAGATAGATAGATAGATAGATAGATAGATAGATAGAGTGTCACATAGAACTCGGACTTGCATATCATCAGAATATCCGCAAACATTCTGTGTAGCAGAGCTGACTTAAAGCTCAGCACAAAAATCTAGATTCAGTCGGCAGCCGCAGGTGTGAAATATCTGATATCCCTATTTTCTGGGCCAGCGTTACATAGGATTGACGTTTTTTCAGACCCCAATAAGAAAAAGTGTGACTCGGAGATGAAGGAGAAATGCAAAGCTATGGGACAGGAATGCGCCGAAGTGAACAACACGGCCGCCTGTAAAGGTATGACTTTCATGTTTAAGACGCTTAAAGGTCTTGCTCATTCGAGGCCTCTAAAGTTGACCCCTTTTTAATTGATCGCTTACAGATAAACGACCGGACGTATGTAAGGATGAAATGCAGAAGCAGTGCGAAGAAAATGACCTACAATGTGCGGTTGTGGATAATGTAGCACATTGCGTTGGTAAGTTCTCTTTACGCTGATACAGTACCCGAAAAAAAATAAATCGTAAACGAAATGAGAAATAATAACGAGTATACGCTGCGTATCGTACATCAATGAAGGTTCTCGACGCAATATAGGTGTATCAAATTTTAACTTTAATTTTGAGATACTCTCATACAACGCGTCTAACATCAATTGCACCTCTCCTCGCATTAGAATAACCGAAATGTATAGGAGAAGTTGTTTCCACTTTGCAAGGTATATTAATCCTGTTTCCAACATTCAATGCTAATGTTATACTCAGGTGTATTCTAGAAAGTATTTTGCAAAGAAGACCGCCACACTTTAAATTCACCACTTGCTGGAAAACCACTAGGAATCTGTAACGACGATGAGCAGCAGATTTGCAAGGAAAACGGCCTACAGTGCACTCTTGTGGATAAAAAACCGCCGCGCGTTGGTACGCATTTATTTTTTCTCAAAGCGATTCCAAAAAGCATAACCAAGGAAATGGAAATTTGTTACGAATACACCAAGTTTGCTTTTGTTGAAATGAACTAACTGGTTTTGAGCTAACAAGTTTATCGCACAATTATTGAAAGGATGTTAGCAATATCAGTTTCAGATACAACATAATCATGGCGCTGCACTGCAATTTCAGTCACTGAACGATTCGGTATTTTGTTTCTGATTAAAAATTAGGCCCTGTATCTGCATGTTACACTGCAAAAGTCGTCAAAAGATGATAGTATTGCGTATAGAGAGAGTAAACAAACGTTTATTTGATGTTCTGCGCAACAAAATTGGCGAATGGCATTCTGGAAGTGCTGCGTTAGAGTACCTCGAGCATGCACCGGAGGCTTACGAGCGCATCAAGTCACGTCACACGTGAGACATGAGCGCTGTCTGGCAGTTATCTTGGAAAATCAAGCGTGTGGCGTGCGCGGCCGTCTCGGAGGTAATAAGGTGTAGAAGGAAAGGTGATGGGTAGGTGCCACCACCATGTGGTCTTAGCAATGCGTTGGAAACACTTGCCTTTTCGTGCGAGCGTTGCATTGTAAGCGAGCGTTATAAACTTTATGATCCTTTGAATTATCTATGTATGCTTTTTTAGTAAAAACCACACATACAAAATATTGACGTGTCATTATGGTGCCTCAGATATGCGCAATAATTGCTTTTTCATTGACAATCACACAAGTATGAGCGCGGAACCTTGAGCAGTATTGGTGGGCGCTGCTGATGGGGTCGGCCGTTTGGGGTATTGTTTAAGGACGTTTGTGGGACCGTTAAAAATGGACAAACAGGCAAACGTACGGACAGACAGACAGGCAGACAGATTAGTACTTTTGCGTTGAATGTTCCCAAGAAAGACAATCGTCTTTAAAAATTGCCGCCCGCATCTTCGCACAGGGAGAACACGAGTAAATGTGTTGCAGAGTGGTCGGGGTATCGTATGAATGTTGTATAAGTAGGTACGGTTTGGGAATGCCTAGATTTTATTTCAACTTTATTATTCCTGTTTATTGAATGCAGGAGAAGCATTGCCAACAACGTCAAGCAAAAGCCAAATAAAGACGCCTTTGACTGAATTTAAAACGCGCGATCCAGTGCCTACAGATACGGGGTGGCCAATGAACGGTTAGGTGCCCCGCACTTTTACTTTTCTGGCGGCACAGTTTCAGTAACCAACGAAATGCGAGGCCAGGATAGCGAGTGGGAAGGCAATACGTACACGGTATGACTACGCTATCATCTTCCTACTCTTATAGGCAAAGTTCAAGCGTCTTTCAGGTTTATATTGTTACGAAGGAACCGTTCACATAGGCAAGAGATTTTAACAAAGAAGAACTTGGGTTATATTTATGTAACGTGACACTGGCGAATAATAACACTGAGAAGTACAAGGGCAGCAACAACTGGAGCTGCTTTTGTATTTCTGCTCGTCCATCGTCCTTGATCCGCCTGAATCATGTTACAAATCAACAACAAGATTTCTTTCTGGTTCGAACAGCTAGTTGAAGCGAATCCTGCTTCCGACCGCAAGGAAACTCCTTTCAACATACCGCTCAACCGCCATTTTGTTATGGACAGCAACGTAGTAGCATCGTATCTATTTCTTGCTTCATGCTATTGAATCCTTCTATTTTTACCGACTGTGTGATAACTGGAACGATACTTAAGATGACCACCAGCTGTCTTTATTTAACGTCTGCGGCGAGTGTTAGAAAAAAACCTAAATTGGTAATCCTGGGCTAGAGCTGGCCTAACTTTAACAAACGAAATCCAGTGTCGTCATATGTCCGCGAAGTGACGGCTTAGTCTCGGCTAAATAGTGGTACTTGTGAAGCGTAGTTGTTACCAATCTAAGCTAGCCGCTGTTATAACATCCGCGTCAAGTTCATTTACTCTCTGTCCAATAACCGAGCTGTTGCTCTCGCGTGTACCTAGCCAAGCTAGTCAACTGGTCCGGCACAGATTGCTTAGCACGCTTTACCCCTTCCCTCTCTGTTTGCCAGCCGAAAAGCGAACCAAGTGCACCGAGGAGGAAGAGCAGGCGTGCAAGGCCATGGGAATGGAGTGTGACTTCAGTGCTGGCGCACCCATTTGCGTTGGTAAGTCTATTCGTCTTCAGCGGAGCGTCACCGTCATTTGTCCAGTCATGACTGGCGGTGGCGCCGAAAGATCCTGAAACGGTTTGTGAAACTCGTCTGACAAGCGCAGTAGGTGCAGAACGGAGACGTCATATTCTCAGTTCTTATTAAAAATTTTCGTTCAGCTGGAGAGCGTGACGGCAGTGGCAGTAAGTGTTATGTCTGGCTTACTTTAGCGTTATCTGAACGCATCATCGAGCAACCACGGCCGCTCGCTGCGTCACCTATAAAGCGGCATCTGAAAAGCTGCAAGACCACGCCCAAGAACCTCATAGCCGGGGACATCCACAGCATGTAGTCCTTCCTACTGTCAATATTAGACCTATACGTTCTTTGCGCAGTACCTCATGCGCTAGGCTGCATCCTTTCCCCGACTGCAGCTGTAGAATACACAACAGTAAGCGTGTGCAGTTTGACGTCACTGATGTTGGCCGTTGATTTACGGGCAGTGACATGGGCTCGTGCTGCTGGATGTGTCGTTGCGCAAAAGTACTATGAAAGTGCGAACCAAGACAATGGCAATCATGCGACTGACAAGTTTCACACGTATTTCGCTCCAGCTACAAAGAGGAGCCCGCAGCTTCGAATGGTTCAGTCACACGAAATGCAGCTAAAGTGTTCCGTCCTATTATTTTTTCTTGTGCTCCGTCTTTCCCGTTGTTTTCCTTGCAAAATGGCAGTCACGTGATGTATTTTTTTCCAAGTCAAGTCATGTTTATTAAATAGTTCAGATTGAGTTACATGGTTCGCGTTTTAAAGCAGGAGGTCCCAAAGTTTCAGAGAAACTGACAGGGGGACGTCCTATGGCTTTATGGATAGGGTAATTGCAAAAAATACAGCAATAGTATACGGACATGCGAGTAGTAATGAATAAGCTGGATTAATGTCAAGCTCGTCAGAGTGATCGACAGACGCTCGTTACATCGTGACCAAGAAAAAAAAGTCCTCTAATGTTTCGTCGTGAAATACATACAGTCAAAAATTTCAGGTGCGGATGTAATCCCGAACGACAACCTGCGGTAGCAGTACCGCCCGTACGGCGTAATGAACGTCGTGAGCTTTTGACATTCTTCGGAAAGCCTAATCTGGTAGAAACCAGAATGCGCCTCTAGTTTAGAGAAGACTTTGGCTACCTGGAAGCTTCCCATAACTTGCTCAATTGTTGGCAGTTGATGACGCACTCGTCTCACGAACTGGTTCAATTGAGTCAAGTCAACACAGATCCTTACTGCTCCAGACGGCTTCATTACAGAAGCGATAGGCGCGCACCATTCTGTCGCTTCTCCGACCTTCTGTATGATTCCTTCTCGTTCTACCCTGTCCAGTTTTTCTTTGACTTTTTCTTTCATGGGAATAGGAACCCGTCGCGGTGTAGACAGACTGTACGGGATTGCATGTGGCACAAGGCGTATGGTGTGTTCTCTCGATATGGTACCCGTGCCTTGGAATATCTTGGGATACTTGCTTCCGATATCGTCGGCAGTGTCTAATTCATCTAGGAAGCGAACAATTCCCAGAACTTTTATGGCTGGTAGTCCCAACAAGGGCGTGCGCAAGTTCTGCACGACGTAAATGGTTTGTTGTGAACAGCTGTCTTTCCAAGATATTTTAGCGTCAAACTTTCCGATCGTACGGATGCTAGTATTGGCTAGGTCCTTTAATCTCGGCTGGGTTTTCCAGAGAAGGCGGAAGAAAAGGATAATTTTCACCGACGACTGTCACTTTGGCTCCCGTATCTACTTTCATGCGGAGCGCCTGGTCGTTTATCTTCACCGTCACGAAATGCTCAGATTGTGTCTTCGCACACTGCTCGACCGTGCCTATAAACTTGCCATCAGCTTTGGCGATGCTATCAAGATTTGTGTCTCTTTTCTTCTTTTTTCGGCACGCATTTTCATAGTGACCCAACTTCCGGCAAAATCTGCACGTTTCTTTTTGCGCTGGACACTTGTTTCGTGGGTGAAATGGTCCGGCACAATAACAGCAGCTATTTTGATGATAAGTTGGCTTCTGACAGCGAGTAAACGTGCTCTTTGCAGCGGCTTTCTTGGGCTTTACTGCGGCGACGCAAGCTTCTGGGACTGTGCTCTCATGCTCTTTTATTTCTGCTTGCTGTTGCTTTACGGTTTCGCTCGTACGCGCTCTTGCCAAAGCAGTGGTCATCGTCAGCTTGGGGTCCATCTGCAGTTCTTCCGAAAGAACCTGGTTCCGAAGTCCTACTACGAAGCGGTCTCTTATTAGGCGTTCCTTCATACCTGTGAACTCGCATCCGTCGGCTAACTTGCTAAGCTCGGTTGCGAACTGGTCTACTGTTTCTCCCAGTTGTTCGCGGCGTAGATCAAAGCGAGCACTTTCGTAGACTATGTTCTTGGTGTGGACAAACTGGTCGTTAAGTTTAGACTTTACGAGCTTGAAGTCCTTCATTTCTTCGTCTTTTACTTTTAGCAATCGAAAAATCTCCCTCGACTTTCTGCCCATAGTATAGCGAAGAGTCCTTACTTGAACTTCGTCTTTCTTCTCATGTAGCCCAGACGCGAATCTGTAGTCATCAAATTCGTCCATCCAGGCGGGCCAGTCCGCTGCGTTCTGGAAGTCGGAGGGCGTAGGAGGCTTGATTCCCGCCATTCTGAAGCATTGTAGCCGATACGGCTTGTTCTCGTAGACGCAGCTGCCAGTCGCTCGCTTGTTGACGGGTCCGTCAAAGCGCTAGTTGGCTACATCGGAACCACTTCTGACACCATGTCAAGCTCGTCAGAGTGATCGCCAGACGCTCGTGACATCGTGACCAAGAAAAAAAGCCCTCTTTAACGTTTCGTCGTTAAATATATACCGCCAGAATGATCACATGACTCCCGTGATAACCGGATAAATGAAACCAAGATAGTGCGTCTTGGCGCTTGTCTCTGGAGCAGGCGGCCACGGAATGCAGCAGGATGACGTCACATTTAACAATAAAAATACGATCAATACACAACATATTGGTGATACTCACTATTAAAAATAACATGGAAATAATCAAAAGCAAGTGAAGACAAAAACAATATGAACAACTCTACGTGACAAATGCAACACGTTTCATTATCAGTGTTATCAATTATACAAAGGCAAATTGAAGTAGTAAAATAGCACGGAAATGTGGAGAGCTAGTCGTCACCATATCAGCTTTACTCCACAAGCGTGCCGCATTGCAGTGGCATATCGAGTGGGCCTTCTCTCAATTGTCTGTTCACCTCCTCCCACAGTACAAGACGCCCCTGTTCTCATTGGAGTTTACCATTACACAGCTGAAGAATATGCGTGAGATTATTACACTAACGTAGTCTCTATAACTATCAGCAGAACTGTTTAAGCCTGGAGAATCTCTGTCAGGCGCGAAAAATTGTCATCAGCCGGCACGCGCTCTCTTCGTGCTCTCACTCTCCTCCTTCGCCACGAGAACTCGTGCGGCGATTTCTCCGGCGTGGGTTGCACTAACCTTGATGGGCGCGAAAAAGCGTGCAGCAAGAGAAAATGTATAGAGAGAAAAAAAGACAGAAATAAGTAGAGAGGAACACGCGAAAAAAGGGTTGAAAAAGCAGAGAGCAGAATGTACAGGAGGAAGAAGAGAAAAAATCAATGAAAAATATGGGAAGGAAATAGAAGCAAGAAAGAAGAATCGAGAAATAGCGAAGGAGCAGGAAAGAAAGAAAGAAAGAAAGAAAAGAAAGAAAGAAAGAAAGAAAGAAAGGAAGGCGTGGCACCAGTACTGCGAAGGCGACCTTTTTATGACCTGTAAACCTACCTTAATGAAAGTCTGTTGAGATAGCAGGAAAACATCTACATTTTATGCAGTCATTTCAAAGGAGGTAATTATTTACGTTCGGCAGATACCAGTACCATGGAAATCGACGTTATGTGAAGCATGTCCTGAACCACGATGTGGTTATGAGACATGTCTTAATGGGGGCCTGCCGAAATGTTTACCATCTGCTATTCACTGACATCGCACAGCACACGGGCTTCTAGAATTTCACTTTCATCAACGATCTCGGTCCGGATCGCACCCGCTACTTTGGGGTCAGCAGCCGAACATCATAACCACACCTCCACCACGGCGGACGATTTCCGAAACGGTCTTATATCCCAACAAGCATTCAAGCAATATTTCATCCAAGATAAAAGGCACCTATACCACTTTTCTCGGGGCGCGCATAGTGCCCACAAACTCGTCACTAATTAGCCGCTGGTCTGGTGGCTAAGGAACTCGGCTGATGACTCTCAGGTATCAGGACCGAATCCCGGCCGTGGCGGCCGCATTTTCAATTGAGACGAAAATTCTTGAGGCCTGTGGGCCCGTGCTTACAATTAGGTACACGTTATCAACCCCAGGTAGTCGAAATGAATGGAGCCCTTCACAGTAGTGTGTCTCCTATATACATGGTGATTTTGGGCCGTTATGCACCACCAATTAGTATTATTGAGTTCGTCACTAGGATATCGAGTGCCAGCAGTGCGGGTAAGTTAATACTGATAACCTTCTGCTGCCGGGTGCTCTACGAGAGAACAAATTGAAATGTTATGTGAAGTGAGCCTAACAGGCTACTCCATTGGATAGGGCTTCACGTAACTCTACAAAACGCTGGTGTCAAGAGAACACAGCCACTCCCGTGAGCGAAGTTGTTATTGTCTTGTCAGTCGTCTCAAAATGAAGTAAGCAGGCAGTTTTCTGGTGTCTGCCAAGATAGCGAGCGAACTAGTGCCCTTAAGGCCTCACCACACGCACCCGTTGCAGCGCGTCACCGCGGGGCGTTCTGGCGCAACGCTGCACCTTCTCCCTACAGAAAGAGTGGGCGCGCAGCTTCGCGTGGCCACGTGCCCTCTCTCTCTCTCTCTCTCTCTCTCTCCTCTCTCTCTCTCTCTCTCTCTCTCTCTTTATGGGTATAGGTCACGGCGCTGCGTCAGGTGAGCTTCGCGCTGACGCGCTGCAACAGGTGCGTGTGGTGACCACACGAACCTGTTGCAGTGCGTCAGCGCGGGGCGTTCTGGCGCGGCGCTGCACCTTCTCCCTACAGAAATAGTGGGCATGCAGCATCACGTGGCCACGGGCCCTCTCTCTCTATCGATATAGGGCGCGGCGCTGCGTCGCAAAGCTTCGCGCTGACGTGCTGCAACAGGTGTGTGTGGTGACCCCACACACCCGTTGCAGCGCGTCAGCGCGGGGCGTTCTGGCGCGGCGCTGCACCTTCTCCCAACAGAAAGAGTGGGCACGCAGCATCACGTGGCCACGTGCCCTCTCTCTCTATCGATATAGGGCGCGGCGCTGCGTCGCAAAGCTTCGCGCTGACATGCTGCAACAGGTGCGTGTGGTGACCACATGCACCCGTTGCAGTGCGTCAGCGTGGGGCGTACTGGCGTGGCGCTGCACCTTCTCCCTACAGAAAGAGTGGGCACGCAGCATCACGTGGCCACGTGCCCTCTCTCTCTATCGATATAGGGCGCGGCGCTGCGTCGCAAAGCTTCGCGCTGACGTGCTGCAACAGGTGTGTGTGGTGACCACACACACCCGTTGCAGCGCGTCAGCGCGGGGTGTTCTGGCGCTGCGCTGCGCCTTCTCCCTACAGAAAGAGTGGGCACGCCGCTTGGCGTGACCACGTGCCCTCTCTCTCTATCGATATAGGGCGCGGCGCTGCGTCGCAAAGCTTCGTGCTGACGTGCTGCAACAGGTGTGTGTGGTGACCACACGCACCCGTTGCAGCGCATCAGCGCGGGGCGTTCTGGCGCGGCGCTGCACCTTCTCCCTACAGAAAGAGTGGGCACGCAGCATCACGTGGCCACGTGCCCTCTCTCTCTATCGATATAGGGCGCGGCGCTGCGTCGCAAAGCTTCGCGCTGACGTGCTGCAACAGGTGTGTGTGGTGACCACACGCACCCGTTGCAGCGCATCAGTGTGGGGCGTTCTGGCGCGGCGCTGCACATTCTCCCTACAGAAAGAGTGGGCGCGCAGTTTCGCGTGGCCACGTGCCCTCTCTCTCTCTCTATGGGTATAGGGCACGGCGCTGCGTTGGAGAGCTTCGCGCTGGATGCGCTGCAACAGGTGCGTGTGGTCAGAGCTCTATGGTTGGAGATTTCAGTTTCAGTTGGACAAACGCAGCCCCGGGCGTCGCTCGACGAAGGACCGAGTGTTCTCGCTCTGCTTGAGGAGCCACCGGTGGCAGCAGGCCTCGCACGCAAAGTGATCTAACGTAGGGCGCATGTGCCCTACGTGCGTCGGAAATGACTGACTCGCTTTCATCTCGGCTTAAGCCGCGTTCATCCATAGCACTCACACGCCTTTACTCGCAGGTATACCATATGATTAGCTGGGCGATGTAATTGATTTGTACCTTACAAGGAACATAATGGCTACAGCAAAAAGCCTTCTTGAGCGTCCATAGTTTGGTATCGTGAAAAAACTTTCGCCAGTGCTAGATGGCGTATTGGGTAGACTATAGGCTTATAATCTGGGGCTTTATTTTAAAGCACTTCGCTGGCTCTACAGACTAGATTCTTTTACTTTCGCGCTTGGGTTTAGGAGTTGTGCCCTGTTATCAACCGTCAATATGGCCAGCACAGGGGCTGTAGATCTGGCGACGCTGCATCCCCTTTGGTACAGCGTGGGAATCAGAAGTAGTCACCTAGAACGTTTTTATACAATGAAATGATTCATCTTTATAACGCCACAAGAATATATTTTCATTTATTTCACGATACACACGACTGTTATTAGTGCTATTATGTACGCTTCTAACTAGTTTGGTTCTATCAATGTCCTCCCTACTTATTCGCCGCCAATATTGAAAATGTTTCTTGATAATGTTTGCATCCTAATTGAAACGCAGAGGCTCTGAATTATTCACAGCCTTTCCCGGGTATATTGCGTGTCTTGGGCCGGGCGTTTGCTGCAGCAGACAAACTCATCTTGTAGATAATTTTCGGGCCTATAAGAACAATTATCTATTATTATCAGTATAGTGAAGGAGGATTCCAGTAGTTTTCAAAACACGTGCTCACCTGAACCACGAAGAAGGCATTTCATAATGATTGACGTCCCCACGAGGCCCATCCAAGTGCTTCGTGGTAGCCAACAATAGTGGAACCGGAGCACCTTCACAGCAGTCGGTGGAATCATCGCACTAGCACTTCTGGCCCGGGCGTGATTTTTGTTCATGCGGCCTCATCAAGCGTGAGACCCACGGGACGGCTTTCACCTGCACCGTAGTAGAGTACCGAGTACTCTAAATTGTTAACCACTTTTTATCCCCCTCCCATCCAGGCTAACGGGAAGTTCATTGCTATGAGTCACGCACGTGACGTTCTGAATATAGTACACTTCGATTTTTTCATCAACTATATTTCATTGGGTGTATTGTGTTACCCATACTTTCCGTCTGTCTATTCTCGATGCAACAAGACGCTAACGTTGATTCACGACCACAGCCTAGTGCAACTGTCAAGAGAAACGGAGAGAATGTTGACCACTGCTACATCTGTCTCTTCGAAAGCCTGTTATAGAGTGACGATATACGGCAGCTCTCTGAATATATTCAATGTGCTTTCAGATACGAATCGCACCACCTGTCACAAGCAACAAACGGAGACATGTAAGAAAGAGGGTAAACAGTGCGACTTCTCCGCGGGTGCGGCCACTTGCATAGGTAAGCATAAAGCAGCCTAAACGGCATAACATTTCTTGCATGTACGTCGATATCGATACAACACTTCACCCCCCCCCCCCCCCACGTATGTACGTTTTAACGTGCTTTCGTGGCTTGCGTTGAATTTTCAGTAGCTGGGCAATAAACAGGTCGTTGCAGTTGGCGTAACTTCCATTATCGCTGACACATGGACATCGAGTTCCTCATAATCATATCGTGGTTTTGGGACGTTAAACTAAAGCAATAATCATGTTACGATTCGACACGATACAGCTGAGAATCATCGTCACATGTGGCTGAAATCAGAGGTGCTTGAGGAGCCTGCATCAAGACTGGATGTAATGGCAGTCAGGTGTGCCTCGAATACCGTGACACAATACTTTTCCATTACAACTTTTTGACTAATGAAGCAAAACGACTTCCGAAGTGGCGGGGCAATATTGCCTCCCGAAGATAACTGTTCCGGTCCAGCACATCTTTTTTTGTAAAGTAAGAAGCTTCATTTTGATCAGCCTTTGCGTGTCGTTCAATTTGTAGCTCCGTGCTAGACGAATACGTGAATAGTAATCCTCACATTGTCTAAGAACTTATCGCCAGCATGCTGGCTCAACAGTGGCAGTTCAACAATAGCTATCACTCGTTTCGGATTTCTCTCACAACTCTAGCATCTCCCACTTGGCCTGACCTCCACAACCTTTTCCCGTGCTTTAAACTTCACGTCACCAACTTGTGTAGAATTGGACAAATGGGAAAGCATATTACCTATCTTCGTTAATACGTCGGAAATTAGGCCAGCCAGCATTTCCCTCAGCAGTGCTTTTCTTGAAGAGCTCTTCATTAATAGATTGTATTGTATTATCGGGGTTTAACGTCCCAAAACCACCATAAGATTATGAGATACGCCGTAGAGGAGTGCTCCGGAAATTTCCTCCATGTGGGGTTTTTTAACGTGCTCCTACCTCTAAGCACAAGGGCCTGAAGCATTTTCGTGTCCATAAAAAATGCGGCCGCATCGGCCAGGATTCGATCCCACCTTCACTCGTAGACGTGCTCAGAGTTGGTCAATAGGGCGAGGAGTGGGGGGGTGGCAAGATTAATTGAATCGGGGCGCCGTTTCTTATTAGTTTCCCTCTTCCCAATTTTTTTGGTGAAGTCTGAAAGGAATGAAGCTGCATAGTCGATGCAGAAATGAAAATTATGCGATGATGCGGTTCTCAAAACGCGTTAGTTCTACGCCTTAAAGGGTAGAGGTGGGAAATACTCAGCATGTCAGGTTGTTTACAATCAGGCATCATGTTTCATAAGGACAGCCGAGCACCCTATATTGAGCTCAACCCACCCTTATCGAATCATATTAGAATAGGATAATAGAATAATATTAGAATAGGATATTAGAATAGGATAAGACCACTCAATCACTCAATTACGTGCTTAGCCACGCATCCTATTAACCACACACCCTACACACCCTAGGGTGCCCAAGCATTCTAATAGGCGCTTGGCCACCCTTATCGTCAGAAACCTGAAAAAATGGCTGGACAGGTAGGCGTGTGTAAAAAGGCAGATTTCTCACTCTACTTTAATATTCGTGAAGGCGCCACCCTTCCCCCCCCCCCTTACTACCTTATTCGGATTCATCTCGCGCACACCGGGGCATTCGCTTGAAGCTTTAGAGTAATGCTTTTTATTACCCTTTCACCAGATAAGAATCGTACTACGTGCAACGAGGAAGAGAAAAAGATATGCAGGGAACTTGGAAAAGAGTGTGACTTCACTACCGGTAGCCCTCTCTGCATAGGTAAGCACATGTCCTGACCAAGTCATCGCTAGATGGGCGTTCCAATATCAGTTTATTATTTTCGAGCCACCTGCTTTCGACAGACCTGCAAAAGACAGTTTGCGATAAATATCGTGGGTCGTTCAAACCGGCTGAATCGCTTGCAAGTGAGCCCTGTTTCCTAGAAGCACGGCAGCTTGGACTAGTTTGTAAGACATTATGACTTCAAATTGAAAACTTATTACAGGAAAACAAAGGGGGGAAGGTACACCCCATTAGATGGCGTACATGCGTGTGTACTTGCCTTAGTCCTAATGCCCTATCACCAAACCGATTCACCGAACAGTTACAACCATATTCACGAAATTTTACCGATAAACTTCACCAAAGACACTATAAGGTACACACGAGTTCACGGTTAAAGGGAACACTATTCTGTGCACAATGTCAGGATTTCGCTACCTGGCAAAAGCATATGTTGGCTTATATATTTACAAGACTACTGCTGGTTGGCTGGTATGACTCCTTTTGATGGACCGCTGCCATGCACAAACAACGTTTCTACGTCTACTAGCAGTTATAGGTCCTCAATATGACCGGTGTTAACTATAGTCTTCCCTTTCGCAATGAACGGTACTGTACACGTCCCACTTGCAGAAACAGAAGTCGTCAACTATCGAACGGATTTCTATAAAGCTGATGGCTCCTCCTTAGGTTTTATTTTAAACGAATGATAGCAAAACATTCACAATTTTAAGCAGTTATGAGTACCGCATGTGAAATCTGGACAACTCAACGTTGTGTCATCCATCAAAAAGTTTTGGGTGCACTTCTAAAAACTGTCCCTAAAATATTTTTAGTAAAGTAAACCGATAAAATTTCATCGTTCTTCTCTAATAATAACAATTATTTGCACGTATAAACAGCATTATTCATTGGTTTATTTGTTTGGAAAAGAGAGAAGCGAAATTCCTACTTCAAGATCTGTCCACCCTTTGCGCAGATGTGGACTGATTGCGACTCTTATGCGCCAAAATATACCTGATGAAAATGTTTAGATAAGAGCGTACTGAAACCATTTCTCGTTCTAGTCTCAGAAACGCCTTCAGAAGTACCTTACAGACCAATCTTAGCCGATGGTAATTTGTTGTTAAGCAATGGCGTGTGACATTCGCAGTAGTTGCTATTCCCATCCACGATGAACTTGTAACGCGACAGCGTTAAACAGTTCATTTTGTTCAAACACCGGTGTCGGCGTGTCGGCGTCGTTCCTTGTGAGCGAAAAAGCCAGCGTTGTTCGTGAGCAAAAATTCAAGGTATATGCACATAAAAACAATAAAATCTTCGAATCTCGCAAGCGGGACCGGGTGCCCAAACCCGCGTCCCCTCGATCCGTGGCGCGATGCGTTTAGCCACTCGGCCCCAACACAATCCTAAAACACATTAACAGCGATATACTTCTAAAACCATTTATCGTTGGTGCTACGCACATTCCGGTGGTGCTTAGGTGAGGCAGGGGCTTGACTAGACGGCGCAGAGGGCCCAAATGCGCACATTAAACGGCATCGCCCCGACATGTTCCATCGCACCGCATGCACGCATATAAGAGCCAGGGGGTGTCCGCATATCGGCTTTTATTGTGGCCGGGTTTAGGTCTCCACAGTGAACCGAAGTCAGGCTAGGCTAGAGATGGGTAGGGAAATACGCACATGGTGCGATTACATTATCATTCTAAGAATGCACCAAATGGGTCCTAAACGTCCGCTACTAGTCTTCCACGTAACCAGCCAACAACTTGAACTGGTTCAGCTTCAACTGCGTCAGCTCATTCTTTTTTAATATTTACTACATCTTTTTTAACCCACCAGCTGACAAACGAACCAAGTGCAACGAGGCGGAGGAGAAGGCGTGCAAGTCCATGGGAATGGAGTGCGACTTCAGCTCTGGCGCACCCATTTGCGTCGGTGAGTCTATTCACCTTGAGCAGAGCAGCGCCGTCATTTATATAGTTAATTTTTAACACCGGAATTGGGGTACATTTATTTTCACAGTCACCAAACTATCAGATGCCTCTGGAAACTTGAGATCTTGCAATATGTTAAAACTATTGTTATAGCTTGTTATAAATGATATTTTTGTTGATATGCACCCCTGTCTTTGCGGCACAATTCTTGGTGTGTATGAGTGCAGAGTATGCCGTTCTGTTAGTCAGTCCAGTCTGGAGTGACCGATGATGGTCACTTTTCACCTTTGGTGTGGCACCGAAGACTTTCGCCGTAAAACAATACAGATATGAAACGAAAGCCAGCACGTTTTATATAGATGCAGAAATCGCTTTCTGTTAGACGTTAGCGTAAGCGTCTCGGTTAAAGCCACTGCCTGCTGCGTCACCTAGCCATTACGGTAACATGATTAAGCTGTCTCGTAATCCGTGTAAAGCGCGAAAACGAGGTGCAAGTCTTGTTGAATCGTTTATTTTAACAGCGCAATGGTTTCAGCTGGCCGCTATAGTTAGTGAAGAGAGAACACAAAACTGTCATCACCATCAATTCGACACGCTCTCCTAAAGTCCCTAAATTTTTCAGGGGGAAAATCTGGGTATTTTATGTTCTTCTTGTTTACTTCGTTTTATTCGTTCCTACCAGAGCACATGCACCGATTGGGCTGGCATGGGATGCGATAACTCTGAAGGACGTGGAAACGAGAACACGAAGAGAGCGAAAAAGAGATAGAAAGAAATAAGCAGAGGGAAAGGGACGGAAGAAATAGAGAGAAG